TGGGGTACAGGGACCGGACTAGGGTTAGAGACTGTATTCGTTTTGGGGTTACAGGCACCGGGAGTCGTAGGGGGGTTAGAAGATATCTCGGTGTTGGTGGAATCAGAGGGGACACCGGATCTAGGGGTGGTAGAGGATTATTCGTTTGGTGGGTTACAGGAACCCGGCGGATCGTAGGGGGTTGTTAGAGATTATTCGTATTGGTGGGTTACAAGGGAGCCGCGGATCTAGGGGGGTTAGGAGAATTAACTCGTTGGTGGTGTTTACAGGGACCTGGGACCGGGATCTAGGGGGTTAGAGATTACTCGTTTGGGGGGTTACGGGGACCGGGATCTAGGGGGTTAGAGACTATTCGTTTGGTGGGTTACAGGGACCAGTATCTAGGAGAGATTGGTTGCCCCTTTTTGAAGGTGAACTGGGTCCTTTTTGTCCTGTTTTTAAGTAGCCTAAATAACACATGGCCAATAGGCACAATTTTCACAGACCCTTAACTTATGACAAACATATTTATTTTTTACTGTGTAGCTCTTTTCCTAGTTAAGGGAACTACATTTTAATTCTAGCTTGTTACCATTAATGGCTGCACAAACATCAAATTTTAAAGTTACTTGTTTGGGAATTTCTTTTTCTTCTGTTCTAGTTATTATTTTACTTGTATCACCAAGGAAAGGACCAGTTTTTAATTTCATTTTAAAAATGGTGGTTGCAGGGGGCTTGGATGGAATTTAACACACATCAGATTGGTCATTTCCTGGGCTACTGAGTGGTGTTATACAAGCATGTTCCTTTTAACGTTCCTGTACATTTATAATAACTAGAGAATGAAGGGAGACAGCCCCTCCACGCCTGTGGGTATTTCTCATCAGGCGGGATGAGAGACTGAGAAAAGAAATAAGACACAGAGACAAAGTATAGAGAAAGAACAGTGAGCCCAGGGGACCGGCACTCAGCGTACGGAGGACCCGCACCGGCCCCGGTCTCTGAGTTCCCTCAGTATTTACTGATTACTATTTTCACTATCTCAGCAAGAGGAATGCGGCAGGAGAGCAGGGTGACAGTGGGGAGAAGGTTAGCAAGAAAACATGTGAGCAAAGGAATCTGTGTCACAAGTAAGTTCAAGGGAAGGTACTATGCCTGGATGTGCACATAGGCCAGATTTATGCTTCTCTCCACCCAAGTATCTCAGTGGAGTAAAGAGTAACAGAGCAGCACTGCTGCCAACACGTCTCACCTCCCGCCACAGGGTGGTTTTTTTATCTCAGAACTGAACAGATGTACAATCAGGTTTTATACCAAGACATTCCGTTCCCAGAGGCAGGCAGGAGACAGTGGCCTTCCTCTTTTACTAATCCTCCTCAGCACAGACCCTCCACGGGTGTCAGGTTGGGGGACGGTCAGGCCTTTCCCATCCCACGAGGCCACATCGCAGGCTATCTCAGTGGGGAGAAGCCGTGGACGTTACCCAGCTTTCCAGGGCAGAGGGCCCTGCAGCTTTCCGCAGTGCATTGTGCCCCCGGTTTATCGAGAATGGAGAATGGCGATGACTTTTCCCAAGCACACTGCCTGTAAACATATTGTTCACAAGGCACAGCCTGCACAGCCCTAGATCCTTAAACCTTGATTCCATACAACACATGTTCCTGTGAGCTCAAGGTTGGGGCAAAGTTACAGAATAACAGCATCTCAGGGCAAAACAATTGTTCAGGGTACAGATCAGAATGGAGTTCTTATGTCTTCCTTTTCTACATAGACACAGTAACAGTTTGATCTCTCTTTCTTTTCCCTACGTTTACAAACGCCACAGTGAAGAAGTTTGTTGTAAACACATTCAGACTGTGAAAAGAACTCTGTGCGTAAAGTCCTTTCATTTCTTTGCCAGAGTTTTTTTGAGGCAGATTCCAGAATTGCTGAGTCAAACGGCAAATGCTACATACTTTCGTTAGACGCTGCCAAATCCTCTTCCACGAGGCTGCACCGTTCTGCATTCCACAGTGAGGTATAAGAGCCCTTGTACCCCACAGCTTCACAAACAAAGCATGATGGCAAACCTGCACGTTTACCAATCACACAGGTAAGAAATTTCATCCTAGTTTCACCAATTTTTGGTTAGCATTTTTATTACCAGCTTTTTTTTGGTGTAATGCACAGAAGGTAATGAACACATTCTACCTGCAAGCTTCTTCCTGTGCCTTTGGAATCTGCTCCTGCCAGTCTGCAGGGACCACGGATCTGCTTTCCGTCACACAGGAGGCATTCTCGACACCCTCTGTACACAGCGTGCACTTTTTTATTTGGCTTCTCTTACGCAGCATAGTGACTTTCAGATTTATTCAAGCTGCTGCATGTGCCAACAGTCCACTTGTTCCTAGTGCTGAGGCCCCATCACATAAGCACAACTGTTTCCTCTGCGTGATGTGTTATTCTCTGGCTATGCACTGCCAAAAAAGATATCATTAAAAAAAAAATCTAAATATAATGTAAAACCTGCCTTGCCTTAGGGAAGTTTTTCTGGCAGTGGCTCACACCTATAATCCCAATACTCTGGGAGGCTGAGGCAGGAGGACTGCTTGAGCCCAGGAGTTTGAGCTCTGCCTGGGCGAGATAGTGAAACCCCATCTCTGTAAAAAAATATAAAAATTAGCCAGGCATAGTGGCTCACACCTGTAGTCTCAGCTCCTTGGGAGGCTGAGGCTGGAGGATTGCTGGAGCCCAGGAAGTGGAGGTTGTAGTGAGCTGAGATCACACCACTGCACTCCAGCCTGGGCAGCATGGCAAGACTCTGTCTCTACAAGAAAAAAACAAAAAATTAATAGAAGGACAAACAAAAGGTTTTTCTTACCAAAAATACACTTTAAGGAACAAATTTATCATATTAAGTTGGTGCAAAATTGTGGCTTTTACCACTGAAAGTAATGGCCAAAACTGCAATTACTTTTGCACCAACCTAATATTATTTTCTAATGACAAACTTGGAAACAATTGTCATTGTTCTCTAAAAAGAACAGCCTAAAAATAAAAAAGCAGCCCATTTACTTCTATGCCAGTTCTTTTAGTATTTGGTTATTTAAACTGGCGGTCCCTAACCAGTACATTTACGGCCTGGGAACTTAAAGGTATTTGCCGCAGTCTTTTCCGATAACAAATTCAACAATGTTCCACATGCGCAACAGGGGACTGTAAATGGCGGCAGATCCCTAGAGTGGAACAGAGCGACGAAATGACCCTGTGCCAGATTCTCAGTGCTTTACAAAAATGCTCCCGTCATGAAAAGTGGGAGAACCCTTGTCTATACCAAGACACTTTATATTTAAACTACCTACTTCCAGTTCAAAGTAAATATTTACATAGGTTGAACATCCCTAATACAAAAATCTGAAATTCTCCAAAATCTGAAGCTTTCTGAGCACCAACATGACATTCAAAAGAAATGTGCTATGGAGTCAGATCTTCCGATTGGGACGCTCAGACAGTAAGTATCATGCAGATATTCCAAAGTCTGAACAAGCCTGAAATCCGAAACACTTCTGGTCCCAAAGATTTCGGAAAAAGAATTGTATATTAAAAATGCACACACAGGAAAAGGTAGGCACATACACAAAGAAATTTAAACCATAATGGGTCGTCTCTGGTTAGTGAGCTCTTATTTCAATCTCTCTGTACTTTCTGAAATGAGTATGTATTTCTTGAAAAATCACTAAAACTGGCTGAGCGTGTTGGTTCATGCCTGTTGGGGAGGTCAAGACAGGTGGATCACTAGAGTTCAAGACTAGCCTAGGCAACGTGGCGAAACCCGTCTCTACAAAACATACAAAAATTAGCCAGGCATGGTGGCGTGTGCCTGGGAGGCTGAGGTGGGAGGATCACCTGAGCCAGGGGGAGGTTGAGGCTGCAGTGAGACAAGATCGAGCCACCACATTTCAGCCTGGGCAACAGAGATGAGACTGTCTCAGAAAAACAAAAACCCGAACCCGGAAACATTAAAAATAGACTTGTGCTAAGCGAGTGAGGTGTGATTTCTATATGCGATCAGGAAATGGCCTTCATGATAAATTCTGAAAATGACCTACTGCCTGAATTACAGACACACTAGATGATAGTGAGAGTCCAAAGGTAACTTCCACAGACACAGATAAGTGATTATACGACTATCTCTTACAAGCTACGAAAAGCTTAAGGGTAAAAGCTTTCTATCTTCATTATTTCTGAATCTTAATGCCCAGCGGAAATGCCACACAGGTGAACTGTGCTTGTGTGGAACAAGGCTGCAACCCCCCTACCACACCCTTGGCTGGCTGTTCCCAGGACGCTGCTCACCACAACCCCTCTGCTCACCCCAACCCCTCCTCAATTTCTGCCCTTCCCTTCTCTGCTTGCTCAGTGCCCAGGGGGTGCTAAGGGCTGCACCACATCCCCTCAGCTCCCCTGCAGATGCTTTCAGCTGGGCCTGCCCAAGGGAGGAGAGGGGAGGGGTCTCTTCTGGGCTCCCTTGGCTTGGGACTGGTTTCTGGTAGTGGCTGTGTCCCCACCCCACAGACGCTGACTTTCTCCCTAAGTCCACAATCCTCATCTCCTCCCCGCCCACCAGGCCTTGGACACTTGCTCCTGCCCAGTGACTTCCATCTGGCCCACACCACGGAGCAGCCCTTCCTTAAGGCTCCTCTGAACCACTTGCAGGCGCTAGATTCTGTTTCCAGCCAGAAGCCTGACTGCTGTCAGAGTGCCTTTTTCAGTGGTGCCTCAAATGAGTTGATTTAAATCCGGCCTGCTCCTCGCGGTTCACCATCAGCAAGGTCGGCCTGTGAACCTGGGCAGGGCCGTGCGCGTTTTGGGCTGTGGTGAGAACAAGCTCCACACTGACCTTCCCAGTGCTGACGTCCACGTAGGACAGGGTGTGCTTCCTCCAGTGCTCCTCAAAGGGCTTCTTCTGTTGGCCCTGGATGGGCTTGGAGTAATTGTACTCATCAATCCGCACCTGAGGCCAGAAACACCATCACATATCTTATTACTCTAACAGAGCAATACAGAAAAAACACAGCAAACATTAAAATGTATCTAAGAGACAGATGCCCTAGAACTCATTCCATTTCCACTTCAGCCCCGGCACCATCAACATGTTCAGAACCCACGGAGGCCACATGGCTGGCCAGGGGGTGTGCAGCCAGCAGTGAGTCCAGAGTAATCCGTGTCCGCACGTTCCCTTAGACACCCTTTATGTACCTAAGAGTTTACCAAATACTTTGTCTTTCTGCTGCATGCGCTGGGAGACTACCTTCTACCTCAATCTTTTCTTTCAGCCTGTTTTTATTTAAAAACATTTTTTCTTTTGAGACAGGCTCTCGCAATGTCACCCGGGCTGGAGTGCAGTGGTGTGATCACAGCTTGCTGGAGCCTTGACTTCCCGGGCTCAATCAATCATCCTACCTCAGCCTCCTGTGCGCACCACCAAGCCTGGCTAATTTTTTATTTTTTTGTAGAGACAGGTTTCGCCATGTTGCCCAGGCTGGTCTAGAACTCCAGGCTCAAGTGATCTGCCTGCCTCAGCCTCCCAAATGCTGGGATTACAGGTGTGAGCCACTGCACCTGGCTTCTATTCTAATTAAAACTTGTTGTGATCAACTGAATTTATGCTACTGGCTAGGCACAGTGGCTCATGCCTGTAATCCTAGCACTTTGGGAGGCCGAGGTGTGTGGTTCACTTGAGGTCAGGAGTTCAAGACCAGCCCGGCCAACATGGTGAAACCCAGACTCTACTGAAAATACAAAATTAGCCAGGCACGGTGGCATGCGTCTGTAATCCCAGCTGCTTGGGAGGCTGAGGCAGGAGAATCACTTGAACCCTGGAGGCAGAGCTTGCAGTGAGCTGAGATTGCGCCATTGCATTCCAGCCTGGGGGACAGAGACTCCATCTCAAAAAAATAAAAATAAAAATGATAAATTTATTATTATTCTGTATTCTGGCAAACACGGATTCATATACTTCGCAGGAAAGACTCTTAATATGTACAAGGAGGCAAGAGCAAGTTCTGAGCAGTGATTACAGCCATCAGCATATTCCAGTGGAGGGTAAATCGGTAAAATTTCATGGTGAATAAAAATGATTTCCCACTCACCGTGCTCAGCGGACTGGAAAGGTCACCAGCCGCCGCCCACACACGGTCCGGAACCAGCCTGTGTGCCTGCCTTGTGCAGCCTTTGTCCTTTTGCTGATGTGGTTTATCCTGAACTTGCATTTGTACCCCAAGCTTCCCTTTCCGTGTTTTTTTGCTATCGTATGTGAAAAACTCTTACCAGGCAGAATCCAACACGTGTGCTCTGCACAAAAATCAGTTCACCTGAAGAACAAGTGACCACAGGGCAGGCTCTATAATACCTTTTCCAAACCACAGGGCAGGTCTGAAACGGTGGCTTATTGTTATTTAATAAAGTGGCATTTCCTCCTTAGGGCAGGTTTGAAACGGTGGCTTACTCGTTATTTAATAAACTGGCATTTCCTCCACAGGGCAGGTCTGAAACGGTGGCTTAC